TAAATAATATAATTATAATATATAAAAATTAATTATATAAATTTTAATATTTAATTTATTAAAATATTAAAAATATATTTAAAATAAAAATTATAATTAATATAAATAATAATAATTAAAATAATTTTAATAAATAATAAATATTTTATTAAATTATATTATTAAAAATATTTAAAATTAATAAAAATTTAAAATCTATTAAATAATTATAAAATATATAATATATATTTAAAAATATTTTTTTAATTTTAAATAATATATAATTTTCTTTATTATATAATTTAAAATAAAATATATTTTATAAATTTTTTCTTTATATTTAAAGTAATATTTATTTAATTATTAATATTTATTTTTACTTTTTTCTTTTCATCATTAATTTTATATATTAGTATTATTTATTATATATATATATTTTCTTCTATCATTTGAAGCATGTTGACAAGTATGTATTTCTAAATCATGTTTTCATATGTTTTGTTTATCTCTCTGCATCAATAACTTCTAGAAAGGACGGCCAGAGGTGGGACAGGCAAAAGCAATTCACCTAACTAGCTAAGTTCTCTCAGTCGAGAATCAGCAATCTTACTACCGCGTCATACTGCTCTTCTCCCCCAGTATCCACGCATTGATACCCTGACACTGGTTATAGTATCATCATTCTTGGCACAAAATGTGGATGATATATGGAGCTACGGAGAGATAGAGCTTCATTATGTAAGACTCAATTTCAGTGGCAAAAAAGTGATGCTTCACTAACAAGTTTGTTTAGCCGCTATCATTGAATGCTTTTTACCCTATTTCTAGAAAGCGAGCTTTGACAGGTATTTGTATCTTTTATGTTCTCAGCCGTCAACGGTCAAATCTTCATTTATAGTTATCTCTTAACCTTGAAATCCCGAACCCTTTTCTGCGGTCATTTGTTGACACTGTCTGCAATTGAAGGTGATCGCATAGCCACAGATGCAACCCAATCTCCTACCCAAAGTGAACACTATCTTGGACCCGTTTTTATACCTTTGGAGAGATCACTCTTTCTTCTTGGGCACCAAATTGCCTTTGGAGCTACCATTTTCCAATGAAATTGAGACTCCTTCGCTGTTGCATTCAATGATGATTAGTTATCTGCTGTCCCAACCAACTCTGCTCGGAGTTTTTTGCAAAATCCATTGCAAATAGCACAGCCACAGTGATGAGTAACTATTCAAGAATGCTAAATTACACAAAAACAACACATACTCCGTGTCTTTTCTTCTCTATTCTGCCTGTCCATGGAATAGTGTAAACGATTAAATTATTATAGAATGCTCTACAGTAATGACTCGAGCAGAGTGGCAATCAGTCTACAGAATCTCACTGAACTCAATGTCAGCTTTCATCTACCTTAGGTCCTGATATGTTTTTCATTGCAGCTGTTGATTTTTTACTCAATCTGCAGTTATGAATAAGATAGGAAAAATGTTGTGACACTTTTACGCACTTTTGCGTGCAGTTCTACGCAGAGAAATGAGAAATTTTTTGTTGTTCTCATTTCGATAATTCAACATTTGAGGAACATCGAGCATTAACTAAGCCGAGGATATAAAACCATCCACTCCACTCTTCATCATTTGAGAACATATTCTATCACATCCCGACATCGTTTTTGACCAACGTCCTGTCCTCACTGAGCAGGTTTTGAAAGGTTAACTTAGGCTTCTATTGCCACGGGCAATTACAAATGATCGATGTTAACATGTTTTGACACTGGCACATTACATTGCAGAAAAATGTGTTCAAGAGATCCATGGACTTAAAACTTGTAACTCTCAAAAGTTTTTAAATAGGATTAGGTTGATTTGGCAATTCAATTCATGTACCCTTAAAAAAAGTGTTTCCTGATCACTTGCATTCAATTGTTGCAATCTCCTACGCTTTGATGTCAACCTGTTTGATGAGGAAGCGATTTAACAAAGCCGAAGTTTAATGCAAGAGGAAAATATCTCTTACTCGGCTAGCAAGAGATCGAATCTGTACTGTAAATTGCTGCCCGCAGCTCGGGGTTCAATCTAGATATTGAGGAGATGAGGACGAGATGCCGTTTTATTTCTAATATTTTAATTCTACTAGCGAATGAGCCCTTAGACCCTTCTCGGCTGCGCCAGGGTTTGGAGGGTCGGCATGTGTGTCAAATCATAGCCAGAGAGATCTATATTGGTGCCTTCAGAAACGATATACGTGTATATAGTGTTTTACAAAGGCGGGAAGGTGTGTTCCTGACCAAACCACTGAAATTGCGAGAAAGCTGTACCGGGTGGGAATCTCTGATATAAACGAACCACAGCCCTTCTCCCGCTCTATCAACTGGATGACCAAAAATCTTAGGTATGGAATTTATTCGACGTTGCTAGACCGCCGTTTGTCTTGGGTGTTGAATAATGGAAGGTGTGGGATTAGAAGAAATATGCCACTTGGAGGAGTCAAGGAAGCGAAGCATAGTTAACACTGATATTGTCAAATATTTTGGATTAACTGATAGTTATGCCATAGAAAATGGTAGCTAACAATGAAAATATACAATAAGTCACAGCAACCATCAGGCATGCCCCAGATTGAAGAAGGCACATCAATCAATGACAGATACATTGTCCTACATCTTGCCACTGATTCAACCTGAGTTGATTTCATCCTCCAGAATAACAACTAACAATTAAGATGAGTTAGCTTCTGGCTGGCGATTTCATCCATATGTGGGGGTTTGGTGCAATGATCTTATCTATATCAATCTCACGCTTGTTAGTTAGTTAACCCTCAAAGATCCTTGAACTAACCAATAACTGGTTAGTTGATGCCGCAGCAGCTCGATTAGGCATTGCGGGATGACGTAGGTGCATGTAGCGCCAGTGCGGGGCCATAATATAGAACTTTGAGGCATACGATTCATTTACATTCATTGATGAAATCAGCCATATGGGTCAGAATACAACATACATACGTCCTTCCTAATCATCTGGTCATTTGGATTACTTTATCTGTCTACCATAAATGAAGCGGATTCGTCGTTGCAAATAAAACAAGGGAGCATGGCCTCGACTTCAGACCAATCTGCTTTCACCTTCCTTCCCCTCGGCGGGATTATCCAAGAGATCCGGGTTGCTGGCCAAAACATCGTATTGAGTTTCCCGACGCAAGAGCACTACGTCAGGTACAACTCCTCATACTTTGGCGCAACTATTGGTCGCACTACCAACCGGTTGAAGGATTCCGTTATTAAGAATCTCAATGGGCAAACATACACGCTAACCACCAAACAAGGCCCGAACTCGCTGCATGGTGGGAAAGAGGGCTGGGATTCAAAGTTGTTTGAGGGCCCCAAGGCTGTGCTTAGGAATGGGAAGGAAGCGTTGGAGTTCAAGTACTTGAGCTTGGATGCCGAGGAGGGCTATCCGGGCACCGTGGAACTGAGAATATGGTATACAGCTGGTATGGAGGCGGCGGCTGAGAGTGGAGGCCGAGCCAAAACAGTTCTAGAGATTGAATATGAGGTCGAGTTTATCGGAAATGAGTGTGCAGAGACTGTGGTGGGAGTCACGAATCATACGTGAGTGGTCTTGATATTTTAATTTTTGTTTCAGATGAACTTCAATGTTCCTTTTTTACCTTTTTACCTTTTTTTTTTTTTTTAAGTAGTACTTTGCAAAAAGATATAACAATACCCAGATAATCTAATAGTTTCACGCATCTAGTTACTTTAATCTGGGTGACAGCCTGACGATCGAAGGTACAGAGGCAGTACTAGCCACCGACAAATACCTGCCTGTAGATTCCACAGGTATTCCCCTGGGCACGATAGAGAATTACACCTCAACGGAAGTCAAGAAGCCTTTCCTCCTCGGTGCCACGTCCCCAGATTTCGATCACTGCTTCGTCGTAGACACGGATGCGGTATCAATTCCCGTTGACACCCGTTTTCGGCCGCTACGTCTCAACGCAGCATTCAAGCACCTTGTCACCGGAATAAATCTCGAGGTCCAAAGCACAGAGCCCGCATTCCAGTTCTACACCGGTGAATATATCAACGCCCCCCCAATTGGTGACGCCCCACCACGGGGCCCTCGATCTGGATTTTGTGTGGAACCTAGCCGTTATATCAACGCACCAAACGAGCCCGCATGGAGGAGCATGAGTGTCTTGAAGCAGGGGCAAGTTTGGGGCTCCAAGATTGTGTACAAAGTTTGGAAGGAGTAGACAACACGAGAGTGATACACGAGAGGGTTTTATCATGATACGGCCCTCTAAGCACCACCATTGGTGTTTCCGTTCACTGGGTTAGTTATCTATCTTCGTACGTTAGTTACCTAGTGGATTTTGTTCTCTCTGTCTGGATGTTCCAATATTGCTATTGATTCACCACGTTTACTCGATATCCAGATAATTTCCCCTTGCACAAGGTACACAACTCATAGTTTAATGTTAACGTATCCATTTCATGTCTGTTCCAATTGAAAAACGAGAAAATGATTGTTTTATCTGCAGTGCGCATCTTGTACTGTATAGAACTTAACTATATAATGCACAACACCAATATTTTATGCATAATCAACTAGTTAATATAGACAGCTCCTCCAATCCGGTGACCAAGTAATAATAGGTTACCAGATTGTGTGCATTTTTTGTTTACACCAATGGCAACTGGTGAAAATTAAAGAAGTTTGTAAAACTAGCTACCCCTTAACACGCAAACCAATTATGAGGAGCAAGCGGGAAAAGATGCAGAATCTTTAACCATAAAGCTATGTTGTGACTCGCTGGGCGGTTTAGAGCATCATGAGCTTGTGAAACTCGGCCTGGTACGAAACATACCACTGCATGGTCGTCCATCAAGCAGTTTCCTATGTCCTAAGCCGGACCAACCTAGCTGCCATTGCAATGTCAGATTGACACCGGTAATTGCTGCGACTGCAAATATGAAATGAACGTGTCATGAATGACGTAACTTCTCCAAATGACGGTGACTCAGAATGTACGGATCAAGAGTTGTCGGTCAGATTCTCCTGCGATGGAACTCTTCAATTATTTGGATATTATCGTTCGCAGCTATGAGAGGGAGGCGTCTGGATGTGAGTTGGGCCAGTTTGTTAGTTACGCGATTGGAGCGAAAAAACATCTTTATCCGCTCTGGTTTTTGCTAAACAAATGGTGTAACTAGTTAGCAAATGGGTAATTCCCAATTGAATGAAACTAATTCAAAATATTTCAAATGACTAGATTTTAACCTGAATTATCTATAATCAACTATCACTAATTAAATAAAGTAAACCAAACTAGGTTTAAGATATCTTGTTCTTATATATCTAAGTGTATTTTAAAATTAAATGATAAACTATTTAATAGACTTATTAATTTTTTAACTTAAAATTCTTATTAATTTTTTTATATTAAATGTAATAACTAAGTTTTATATATTTTTATTTTTAAATTTTATATATATTCTAGTATTATTTTTTATAAAAATAATTATTTTTATTTCATATTTATAAAATTTAATAATTTAATTTAAAATTTATTTTTATTTATTTATATTTAAATATAATTTTTTTTAAACTTTACTAAAAGAAGAAAAAATTATACTCACTATAATATATTTTGAATAGTAGATGAAGATTGAAAAGCTCAATTAATAATAAAAGTTGAATTAAGAAAAAAATTAATATGTAATAAATATATATATAATAAAACTCTGATCAAAAACAAATAATAATTAAATATAAAGCAATTATATATAAATTAAATGAAATTCTTTATAATAAGAGTAAAAATAAAAAGATAAATAAAAAATATTATTAAATCAAATAATAATATTATTATTACAGTTCAAGAAAAATATTGATAAGATATTATTAACAAAAATAGAAAAAATAATAAGTATAAAAAATAATAAAAAAAAAAGTAATATATATCAAGCTACTTTTTAAATAGCTATGATAGCTATCAATTCATCAATTTAAACAATATTAAATTATATATTATATAAAATCATAGTATTATAATATGATTATATAAATCTTTTAATAAAGAAAATCAAATCAGTAATAATTATGATCAAGATAAATATCAATTTATTTAATAGTTAAAAGAAAAAGTAATAGTAATTAAATATCTTTCTAGTAAATATATAGTATTAATTATAAATACATCAGATATTAAAAAGATATTAATATAAAATAATAAGTAATTAAAAGTATTAAGTGAAAAGACATAGATTAATATATATTTTATATAATTATGATCAGAAGTATTTCAATAAATGTAATAGATTAAAAGAAAAAGAAAAAATTATAGTAATATTTTATATTTAAAATAATATAATTTGCAATTGAGTATATATACAGAAGTTATCAGTTTGTCAATATAAAAAAAGAGAGAAAGATAAAAGTATAATAATAAATATAATAACTTTTCAATAAATCAACATGTTAATAAATAATAAACTAATTATAAACAGTATATTTTATGAGATAAAGATTTTTTACAAAGAGATATAGATGATAATATATTATAATTATTAAAAATATAAGTATATTATATGATTCTACAGAATTAAAATAATATATAAGTTCTATATAACTTCAAAATATTTAAATAAAATATATTCAACTTAACTAATTGAAGAAAAATCAAAGTATATGAACTGTTAAGAAGTTTATTTAGTTTGAGTTGAAGAATACATATTGTATAGAGTAGAGATAAAAAAGTATAAAAAATATTTATAAATAAATTAAAAATTTATAAAGTTAATAAAGATTTTAAATAAATAATAAATTATATAAAGAATAAAAAGTAAAAAATTAATAATAAAATAAAATAAAAAAAATTTAATCAGTTTAAAAAAATAGTCAAGATAGAGAAACTATAAAAAAAAACTTAAGTAAGTTTATAATAATAAATATATTAATTAAGATATATTTTGAATAGAATAATATATAGAGCATGCAAGTTAAATTATAAAAACTCACTTATATTATTATAATATAATACACATAAGATAAAGATTATAATAAAGATAATATTAACAGATACAAAAATAAATAGAGATTATAATATTATAGTTATATAAAAATTCAATTATAGAACAGATATAATAATTATATATTTTTTAAAAAACTATAATTTTTAATCTATATATTATTAAATTATATATTTTAATATTTATTTTTTAAATAATAAAGAATTACTATTGTAAAATTAAAAGTATATTTATTACTTAAAATTTAGAGTAAAGCTAATATAATAGAAAGAAAGTTAAACTATATATAAATTATTAATATATATAAATTACTCTTTGAAAATATAATATTCTAGTAATAGACTTATTAATTAGCTTAACAGAGATATCAAAAATACTAAAAGTAATATATAAT